CTCGTCATATTAGAACACCTGCAACCTCGGCATGTAAACAGAACAGCGGGGAGCGGGGGCTATCCTACGCTGCCTTCCCTCCTCCAGTGGCGGCTCGTGACATTATGAATAAGTGAGTGATTATTTTATTCATCTGCTCTAAAAAAAAAAACAGTTTAACAACCAAACTCAGAGTTGTTTTCAACGGATTATTCATAACTAATAACAGTATTTCTCTTAATGATATTTTACTCGTCAGTCCCCAATTGCAAAACGATTTCTTTGGTTTCATAACGCGTTTTAGAAAACATGAAATTGTAATAATCGCAGATGTTGAAAAAATGTGTAGGATGGTGAAAGTTACAGAATGACATCGATTATATGACACGGTTCAGCTTCTTAATCATGATCATTTAAACACATTGACATATGGAACAGCTCCAGCAAGCTTTTTAGCCATACGATTGTGTCGATGATTTAATAAATGGCTTAAATTCAACTGATAATGCATTTAAAATGAATCAAGAAATTCCGAAAATTCTAAGTAGCCGTGGAGTTATATTATGTAAATGGGCTTCGAACGAAATGGCATTTTTAAGACAAAAATGAGAACTCGAAAATGATTCATAATACTTCATAACTGGTAGCACTATTCGTAAAACTTTAGGTTTACAGTGGCATGGACACTTTTAATTTTATCATAAATTCGCATATGGTCAATGACAAAATCACTAAGAGAAGCATTCTTTGTACGAGATTTCAAATATTTGACCCAATGGATTTGATAGGTTCAGTCACGATTAAAGCTAAAATTATTTTGCAACTTTTATGGCAATCAAAGATAAATTGGGATGGTTTAGTTTCATCTTCTTTAGAAACCGAGTTTATGCATTTCAAAAGTCGATTCATAGACAAGTATTTTATCTAACTCATTTTTTATTGAAATGCACGCTTTTAGTGACACATCACAACATTTACTACGCACAAAATCTCAATTACCACCACTTAAAGTCTCGTTTTGAACTTTTCGGAGCTTTTCTGCTAGCTCATTTACCAGAAAAGGGAGAAAAATAAACATGAATGCATTAATTTGTTACGAACCCACAATAAATGCAAGTTATTAAAAAAAATTAAATGCCTACGGCATATCTGGTAAACAATAGATTATATCTAAAAGGTACCTTTCTGGACTGAAAATAAAATGATTTAATTAGTTACTTTAGTGCATGAATTTTATTATTAAAAAGTTATAGAGTATAGACCTTTGAGATATTAGTTGTTTCCTTTTTTTTTGTTAGGATAAATTCGTATTAAGTGGATTTCACATTTCTAATATATTAAGAACAGAAAATAATATCTAATTTCAAAAAATTAATTTTATTGATGATAATTCGTGTAGCAAAATTTATAACGATCTCTAAAGTGGTTCCAGAGAACAGAATCCCATTCTTAGTGGCCACCTTTGAACGAGCACAGATAACACATTCTAGGACCTACGTTCGTATAAACTTTTTCATATCCTCCTGCATAAAGATGTACATTAACAGCAAAGAAACGCATTAACTGTATTGTAATAAATAAAGACATGAACTAAAAGTGAAACAATTTCATAGCACGTTGCACAGAGATTCCTACAATTAACTTTCGCTTTTAAAACTTTTGTAAATAGATAGATATAATTTGTAGTAAATAATTTCCAAATAATTGATACACACTCGGTGCCTCTTAATACATTTATTTAAAGGAATATAAAATTTAGAATATTTAATGAGGTCAAGAAGTATACGAGTATACCCTTCTTTTATGTGGGCAGTATCCCTCATTCTATAACCGCATGGAATATATGTTCCACATAAAATTTAAAATTACCTCGCTTTCTTTTACATCGAACGATATATTACATTAAAATTAGCACTTCTAATTGTAAATACAGGGTGTCCCGGAAATGGTGGGCAATCTCTCGGATATGGATCCAGGACACCCTGTTTAAACGTAAAATAACAGAAATGCTATTTTATAAAAAATAAAGATTACCTGCTATTATTCTTCTCAAAATAATGCAAATATGTATTGATTTAAGTGACTTTATCTTACTTCCACCTTGTCTACTGCCCTAGTCAATTTAATGTGGAAAGTGGAATTTTCGAAATATACGTGCAGGACATATATCTCCCATTTACTCTAATCATTTTATTGAATATGTAAAAACTTAATCTGCATTATTCAGATTTGAATATGTAGTAGCTATCAAGTAAAGAAAATTAGAATATACACAGGGCCGTTCCTGGGCAGTGTGCTGGTGGTGCCCCGGCACCAGGGCGGCCGAGCTACAAGGGCGGCCAAAATTCAACTTTTCTGTCCTGGTCTTCCCCAGATTCCTAACTAAAAATATTTAAACAATAGCAGCAAAGACTGCAAAAGATAAAATGTATATTAATTTTCGTCTTATAAATAATGTAGTATACACTGTTTTAAAATACACTTTTTTTATAAACTAATGCAAAAAATTAAAGGGTCAAAAGAATTTCCGAAATTTTTCCGTGATTTTTGACAGACTGTATTTAGGTGAAAAATGGTCGCATCGGGAATTAAAAAAAACATTTTGAAGCTCTAAGATTCTAGTTTTTGAGATATTTCGGTTGAAATTTTTTAGGAGCTACGGTTATCATGCAATTCTAGGAAATAGCGCGATAAAATTTTTTTTCAAATTTTCCTTTTTTTTTCATAAATTTAAACGTTATTTGCGGTAAACATGTGAAAAAACCGCAAAAACTTTTTTTCCCATTTTAATCATAATATGAAATGTTTAAGCTCAAAAAGCGTGACCCTTTAATTTTTTTCAAAAGTTTGACTATTTGTAACAAACAAGCGGGTCGCTAAATCGAGATGAAACTTCACAAGGTTCTTCTGAGTATATCGAACTGTAACTGTGTAACTGAAAAATGCCTTAACATTAGTCATTTCGTGAATATTTCTAATTTAGCCGTCAATTTTCTAAAAAAACATAAATTACCCTTTTTTCCTGTTTTTTTTTTTAATCGTGAAAAAGATGAAAAAATGTTGTTGCGGCAGCATGTTATAGGAAATTTATTCCAGTTTTCAAAACTGCCTCTCGACTCTGTACGACCATTTGTCGCCGAGATATCGATGATTGAAGACAAAAGGATCCTTTTCCATTAAAAGTCCGATATTTCGATGAAAAATGGTCGTATCGAAATTTAAAAAAAAGAAATTGAAGCTGAATAAACTAGCTATCTGGTCCATGCAGTGGCTAAGCTGAAAAAAAAATTTCCAAGTCCGTGGACTGGAAAAAAACAGAAAATTTGCAAAAATTTTTTTGTCGTACTATTTCTTAGAATTGCACGACAACCGTAGCACCTAAACAATTTCGACCGAAATATCTAAAAACTAGAACCTTAGAGCTTCAAAATGCTATTTTTTAATTCCTGATACGACTATTTTTTACCTAAATAGTCTGTCAAAAATCACGGAAAAATTTCGGAAATTCTTTTGACCCTTTAATTTTTTGCATTAGTGTAAAAAAAAATGTAAAATCAGGGATGTTTTAAAAATGTCTTTCTTAAACGTTTACGAACAAGTGAACGCCTAATTACTAAACACAGAACCCGAGCGAAACGAATGCTGAGTGCTAAGATTACAATAATTATTACCTACTTATCGTCAGATTTACGACGTTTAGACAGCTCAAAATTTTTATATTCTATACTAGGTTGACCCGGCAAACGTTGTTTTGCCATATAAATTAATCCTAGGATTATTTTAGTAGTTTTTTCATAAAGAAATTTCACTTCTACCATCTATATTATATTAAGTGTTATTCAGTGTATATCGTGTATATTTTTTTTATTAATAGTAATAATAAATGTCATTATTACGGTTGATGCACAAACAATAATAATAATGGCCGAAAACTGTAGGGAGTGAGAAACGGCTCATTGTGTGAGAGAGATCTCATCCCTACTCCGTGCTGTTTACTGGGTCAGAAGTGACACCGGTCGACGCCTGGCGGGGATAAAAAAAATGATCAAGTGATAATTGATCAGTTATCGACCGGGGTTGAAAATTATTNTCTAATATACTAAGAACAGAAAATAATATCTAATTTCAAAAAATTAATTTTATTGATGATAATTCGTGTAGCAAAATTTATATCGATCTCTAAAGTGGTTCCAGAGAACAGAAACCCATTCTTAGTGGCCACCTTTGAACGAGCACAGATAACACATTCTAGGACCTACGTTCGTATAAACTTTTTCATATCCTCCTGCATAAAGATGTACATTAACAGCAAAGAAACGCATTAACTGTATTGTAATAAATAAAGACATGAACTAAAAGTGAAACAATTTCATAGCACGTTGCACAGAGATTCCTACAATTAACTTTCGCTTTTAAAACTTTTGTAAATAGATAGATATAATTTGTAGTAAATAATTTCCAAATAATTGATACACACTCGGTGCCTCTTAATACATTTATTTAAAGGAATATAAAATTTAGAATATTTAATGAGGTCAAGAAGTATACGAGTATACCCTTCTTTTATGTGGGCAGTAGGTATCCCTCATTCTATAACCGCATGGAATATATGTCCCACAGAAAATTTAAAATTACCTCGCTTTCTTTTACATCGAACGATATATTACATTAAAATTAGCACTTCTAATTGTAAATATAAACGTAAAATAACAGAAATGCTATTTTATAAAAAAAATAAAGATTATCTGCTATTATTCTTCTCAAAATAATGTAAATATGTATTGATTTAAGTGACTTTATGTTACTTCCACCTTGTCTACTGCCCTTGTGAAGTTAATGTGGAAAGTGGAATTTTCGAAATATACGTGCAGGACATATATCTCCCATTTACTCTAATCATTTTATTGAATATGTGAAAACTTAATCTGCATTATTCAGATTTGAATATGTAGTAGCTATCACGTAAAGGAAATTAGAATATACTTATAGAAATACTATCTAATAAATTTAAAACCAGGAAGTAATAATAATAGGTTTTATTTAGATATTGTAACATAAAAATGTATGCATATATGTAAGTCTTGCTTTAAGCTATTCATTTAACAGCAATTTATAGTCATATATTATTTCTAAATATCTGAGTTTCCTTTGATCCAGTCAATATAAGTGGCTACTCTGGTATAAACGACGGGGTGTCCTTGGAAGCAGTTATATTGGGTGAACAAAACTAGACCAATTTGTACGCCATCCAGGGTCAAGGGGGCACCAGCATCCCCATGGCAAGCGCTGTTAGCCTCAGCCAATTGACAAATGTTACTTCCTTCTACAATCATTTGTTTGTACGGTGTATTCTCTTTAATACACTCGCGATAGGATATTATTACGGATTCTATCCATCTCAAAACTGGTTCAAGGAAGTACTGAGCTTGATATGTAGCGCCCCATCCAGACACAGTTGCTACGTCTCCAGCATAATTATCGTCTCCCTCAGCTAGTTTTACTGGTTGTATATTGTCAGCTAATTCCACGGGTTCGCTAAGTTTTATAAGTCCAAGATCCCATTCGTATGCACCTGATTTGTAGCCCTCAGGAATGATGAATTCAGAGGATTCTACCTTCACCTGATTTGATTCAAGCTCGTCTAGTCGTGGGCCACCGAGAACTACCGTCACCTTTTCTGCTCTGAAATAAATATGATTTTGATGATAAAATGAAATTCATGTCTAAATAGATTTTTCTATATCAAAATTTTAACTTGAACACTCAATAAAGAGGACCAGAACTGTTTTATAAGTTCGAAACGAATAATTGGGAATGGACGGATTTGTTTAAGAGGCTCTAGCTGGACATTTTAGTAATTTGTGTTTATTCAATAACTTTCCCCTTTTATGTCCATTCACCGTCATTTATTTAGATACCGTATTATTAAAATAGAAAACCATATTTAACACAGTATCATGTGAAACATATAATAATGTATTATAATAATACTTAATTCTTTGGAATAACAATACCTATGTGGTACTTACATAGCTTAGCCGAGGTGAGTATGTAGTTTTCAGAAATGAGAGAAACACTGCAAAATGCGTCTGTTTCACGTTCAACTGCTTCAGAAGAATCGATGTAAATAGCAGTTTGGTAGGGGAACTGGCCATCACGGGCTTCGTAGCCACCAGCAATTCTTCCATCAATCTGTATTAAAGAAATAATATAAATTTAATTAACTAATAATAACTAATTTATAATTTAGTTGTTTATGTTTAGTTTCCAAATAATATAATACCTCCAAATATTAATTTAGAAAAATATTTTGAGCAATGCCTTATTAATCATAAGGTACTTGTTACTTCCTGACAAAGATTGTGAAAATAAAATAAAATAAGGAAAAGTGGTCTAGTATTTTCTTTTACTTTTAATAGATAGAGAATATTCAGTAATACTATGTAGGGAAACTAAAATTGGCGAGCAAAAACATATTCTTAATATAACTTACTGCAGGGCTGCCTAAGGCCAAATTCAGGCAAGCGACGAGAAATACTACCAACAAATTACGTGCCATTTTGAATGGACAATACTTAATAAAATTATAGGTCTGGATGTTTATAACTTTTTATTAGCACCAACGAAAGTTGACAAACATGAAGCAAAAACTATACAGTACTGTACATAAGATCTAGCGGCTTTAAATAGGAATAAATTATATGCATCAGCATTTCTGGAATAAGATGATGCGACAGGAATGCTGATGTTACATTATATGTTATATTAGATATGTCTTTATACTGAAAAATAAAAATAGACGTTATACAGGGTCCCTATATTACACCTCTCTCCTTAAGCGGAATTTCTATAGCTGTAGAAGGAGCTGTGGAATTCCTTTGACAGTAATTTCTTTTTTTGTGATGAAAAAAACGACAGTATAATAATATGATACAGATTACAATTATTAAAACAATAAACAGAACAGAAGAAACAATATTTTTGGTTTTCATATTTTCAAAGTCATCAAGATGTACTGGTCTTAAATTTTTTGTTAATCGTTGTAATTGCTGGAAATCCTGGATTTCCACTTCTTGGAGATGGATTGAAGGTCCATTGGATGGTTCGANAAAAAACTAAAATAAACAAAAAGAGAATTTTTTCAGAAACTAAAATGCAATTTAAACAAGAACTGCAAAAACATTATTGGGCTGATGTTTATTGCATGGAAGACCCAAATAAAACATTTAACAGGTTTGTAAGTACATTTAAAAATATTATGAATATACACACGGGTAGCCTGAAGGCTGCGGAAGTTCGACAAAAATGTCGCAATATTCTGGACATAGGGAATTGTTCCTGAACCTTTAAAAAGTCGATTCTCGTTGCGCACAAAATCGGATCTGCTCCTTTTTTTGAATTATCGCAAAAAACTGTTTTTTTTTCCTTATTTCCTGAAAATGAGCTTTTTTAGGGTATTGTAAATAAAAACATTGTCTCTTTTTTGAACAAAATATTTTATTGGTTTATATAATCGGTTTAACAATCAAATATTTGTTAACAAAAAACACAAATCGGTTTAACAATCAACAAAAAACACAAATTCGAAACTGAAGTTGGCTTGAATGAGCTCACACTGGCACAAATCCATTGCAAATATCTGACGAGTAAAGTGAATATTGATTATCGAAGACATGACTCATAAACAATAGTTTACTTATATATGACGTGACGAGAATGCAACAACTGCTTTTTTCCACTGAACGATGTATGTAGGATCTTCTAAAAAATTAATCTTATGTCGATCCCAATATGTATTTAAAAAACTCCCGATGTATTGTTTCTCCAGCTTGTTCTGACCACAGACCAAGTCCATCGTTATCAATAGATTCTAGGTATTGTTTCAAATGTGAAGTTTCAAGGTTTCTGAGATATTAGTTGAAACCAGTGCTTTCTTTAGATCTTCAACAAGTGATTCCACATCAGCATCAACTTTTTTTTGTGGTAAAACAACACTCAACCAGTTTCTTCATGGCCCTAAAAGCTCCTACAAAAGGTAGTAATTTGAGCTCCCCCACTTCAGCACAAATACCCCCCACAACTACCACAAATACTAGTTGGAAATTTGGAATCCACAATCGGAAATGTCTTACAAATATACAGTTTGATAAGTTTTTCACACAACTCACTAATTCGAAATTTCTTCGGGTTTGTTATTCTCCAAAGCGAGATTTTTTGACCACAAGGCATGCAAATCTTCTGCCTATTTTCTTCGTGACTACACTTTACACTCGGATGAGCCATTATCAAACCAAATATTTCTGAAAATCGACAAAAATGGCGAGGATCGTCTAACCTATGACGCAATAAACAAATGCCAAGGATCAAACATCAACAAATAGTTATGTACTGGCTTCACGTGACCCCAAAGACAGCGCGGTCGATTCAAACTATTCAGCGAAGTTCGAAAAATAGGGAGTCCAACTCATGCTAATTAAATGCACAAATAAAGTATTTTGTATCAGATTATCGATGGCATTTAAAATTCCAGGCAATTAATACAATGCAAGCGAATTTTGAAAAAAAAAATTCTAGCTAGTCAAAAAACATTTTTTTGCGATAATTCGAAAAAAGGAGCAGATCCGATTTTGTGCGCAACGGAAATCAACTTTTTAAAGGTTCAGGAACAATTCCCTAAGGCCAGAATCTTGCGACATTTTTGTCGAACTTCCGCAGCCTTCAGGCTACCCGTGTACATTTTCCGGTAAAAACTTTGAGAGAAATGAAAAAATAAAAAAACTGGATCACCCAAGGCATAAGGATATCTTGCAGAAATAAAATAAATATGTATGTACAAAAAAGGAATCGCGAAGTATCTACTGAAATATATAAACAGTATTGCGGTATTCTCAAAAAAGTCATATACACGGCAAAAACATGGGCACATGTGTTATATATTGAGTCAACAGAAAACAAAGGAAAAGCCATTTGGAATCTGGTGAAAACTTTTAGTGGAACAAAAACTAAAAACGACGATACAATATTAAAAAATATTGATATTGCTGAAAAAAATAAAGAAAAAATTTTGAACAATGTAAATAACTTCTTTGTAAATCAAGGCGGTCAAGTCAATCACATTAATCATATTAATGTTGAAAAAGACAATCAATTTTCCGATAACACCATATTTTTACTTCCGACCGACTCAAATCAGGTCTACAATGTAATTATGAGTTTAAAAAACACTAATTCTGTAGGGGAAGATGAAATACCAGTTAAATTACTTAAATTTACAGCGGCTGAAATATCAATTCCACTAGCATACATAATTAATTTAACATTAAAAACAGGAATTTTTCCTGAAAATCTTAAAATTGCCCATGTTAAGGCCGTGTATAAAAAAGGTGAAAAAAGTCTAATGAACAACTATAGGCCTATTGCATTACTGTCAAATATAAGCAAAGTTTTTGAAAAAATAATCTATAACAGAATATTACATTTTTTGGAATGTCATGATCTGCTTACAGATGCACAAAACGGGTTTAGGAAAAATAAAACAACAACTAGGGCTATATATCAGGCATTGTGTGAAATTACAAGATTATTAAATGAAAAAAACAGTACCATGGCTGTATGCTTGGATTTATCCAAAGCGTTTGATTCTGTGGATCATGACATTCTAAATAAAAAGATTCAAATGTATGGCATTCGAGGTGTTGCCTCAGAATTGATAAAATCTTACCTGCTGAATAGGAAGCAGTGTGTTGTAGAAACGGACGATACTGGCGCTCTCATAAAATCAAACGTAGTATTAATAGAAAGGGGTGTACCTCAGGGGTCGATATTGGGTCCTTTGTTGTATATTTTATAC